CTAAAACATTCTAATGCGAAGTTTGTTCCTCTGCTAAAGTAAAACTTTAACTCTTGTGGAACTCTCAAATGAGGAATTCATTGGCTTAACACATACTGTACTATACATTTTAAACTGCAAAAATAGATACAACGCTAACCAAATTAGTAGGATCCAGTGAAACTAGGTAAAAACTGAAGTCTAAAGCGTTCAGACTGACTAAATCAAGCCAGGAATTGCCCCATTACTGTATGTAGAAGGCAGACAAGAATACAAGTAAAACTTTAACTCTTGTGGAATTCTCAAATGAGGAATTCATTGGCTTAACACATACTGTACTATACATTTTAAACTGCAAAAATAGATACAACGCTAACCAAATTGTTTAAAATCAAGTATGTATGTCTTACATTATTTGAAAAACAGAAACATAACAAAGAACGTGTGCATTATTTTCCCCATTACTGTATGTAGAAGGCAGACAAGAATACAACATGGTTTATTACACTGATGATTCCCAACTGTCCATGCTCATTTAAAAAAAAAAAAAAAAGGAAGCAGACGATAGAGGGGTGCAAAGATCACAGGAAGCAGAAGTCAGCATTTCTTACATTTCTTCATATATTCTAATTTGCAGGAACTTCCAGTACAGCAATTTATAGCATCTGGTTCTGCAAAATCAGCCTACAAGGAAGGAAAAAAAGGGGGGCTGGAGTAAACAGGAAGTGCAGGAAACTGCTGGCCCCTATTCTGAATATTCAGTGCCAGAACTGAATTCAGAGCCTTACGGTAAAGGAAAAGAAAACAACACCCTTGTTTTCCTAAATGTCTTCTACCTCAGTAGCTTTATACTGAATTGGGAAAATGCCTTTGTCTAACTGCCTTTGTTAAATAACCGGGAGTCAAGTCCTTGCTGATTTAGAGCAATTCATGCAGAACTCCACAAGCAGATTCCAATCTGCTCCCTGTACCCTAGTGAATTAGCAGGCTTGACCCTTTGATGCAGGAGTAAAGAGCAACCTCCCCCCTTACATTCATCACTATCCTGCCACCCAAGTTGTATTATTTAAATGGGACCCAGAAATCAGGACAAAGGGTCCATAAGGCTCTGAGACCCACAATTTCAGAACTTAGGACTGCAGATTCCTAAGACAACGGGGAGCAGGAGCATTCTTGTGTGCATGACTGAATTCTCCCCCCCCCCGCCCCCCAGTTTTGCAAGAAAATTGTACTTCTACTACTTGTAATACTTCTAGTACTTAACCCTTGCATATTCTCTATAACCGCAGATAAAGGGTAGCGGCTTCACAGCATCCCTAACTGTTGGGTACTGCCTTGCAGATTTGTCCATAACACTTCCCAAGATAGCCCAGAATTAGAAGTGCAATTTCCCCCCTGCTCCTGAGATGGGCACCCATGTGAATGTAGCTTTGGTTTTCTTCCAAGGGAACCTCTTTGCCACCTCCTCACCTTCACAAGGTGGCACATTTTGGCACGCGAGTTTTTCCACCACTTCCTTGGACTGTCCGTCCAGAGGCTTACATCCAGCTTTTGGTTTTCCCCAAAAGGTTACATTATCTCTCCTTCCATTCTCTGCTTCCACTACCATTCTGCAGAAGAGAAAAAAATAGAAAATCAGAGCCAACAGCCTAGAAGGATTGGATGGTACACTTTCCCTTCCTTGTGCCCCAGTTTTATTTGTCTACGACAGATGATGAGTAATATCTAGGCTTTATGTGGCACTCAGAGGCATCACACATCACCTTTTTAATTTCCCATTGCCACAATCCTACCACTCCTAGACCCCTCCTCTCCCACCCTGCCACAGAGAATGGGCTGCTCAGGCAAAGAGCCCACAAAGCAGGCTGTGCTTGCATGCCCTCTTCCAAAAAGAGTTGGAATCCCAACCAGCCACTTAAAAGACTTTGGTGGGCTGTTGGGAACAGGATGGTGTTAAGAAACAGAACATACAAACATAATTCATGGACTAGCAACTTATAATGCCTTTGTAGCATCATCCGACCATCGCTGAAGTGACATAAAGCCTGTTTGTGTTACTGCTATTTTGACACAACAATGGTTAGATGACTCTAAAAAATGCTGTAAGTTGTAATGCAGAAATGACTACAGTCTTTCCCTGCATGGTCTCAGCTTCCTCCAGTGATCCAAATTTAAGATCATATTTTCTCCATTACTAACAGAAGAAACTGCTAAGAGCGAGGAAACAACATTTTGCTCAGCACCACTGAGGGAATGGAAGGGCCTTAACCTTGCCGCATGACAGGATTTAATGGGGACAAAATTAGACCCTCTTCTCCAGAGACCCCAAACCAGAACATCATTCTTGGCAGCCTTAACTGGACATGCTAGACAGCCCATCCCTCACATGAAGACCAAGAGAACCCACACAGCCATCCCATTTGCTGCCTGAGGCAGTACAGGATGGTACACAGAAGCACCCTATTCCCACTTACAGAACCTGATTAGATGGGCAGTTGACCTTTTGCTTTGCAATGGGCTACTGTCTTCCCCTGAGCCAGACGTAGGCCACACATCAGATCTGTTCCTGCCTTCCAACAACTTGCTGCCACTCCCCACCTTCCAGCACCCGCTGTTTCATTGGGACTCATGGTAGAGTTGGCCCCGGTGCACAAAATGGCTTCTGGTTCAGGCAGCCCTGGAAAGTTGCCCTTTCCCATGTTCGTTTCATTTCCGTGCTCTGAACAGCAGGGCTCAAATGCCACTATTCCTGTGACATCAGGAAAGGTGAGGCACTTCCCTGAAAAGAAAGCTGTAGGAGAAAGCAAAGGGACCAAACAGGTAGCAAGGCAACAGGTAAAGAAGAAAGAAGAAGAGAAGAAATCATAGAGTTGGCCAAATCATTCCAACCCCTGCCATAAAATAGGGAAAGTCAGCTCAGAGCATCTTTCTGGGAAAGAAGCAAGCAAATAAATGAGAAGGGGAGAAATGGACAGGGAGCAACAGGAACTGAGAGATGTCAAGAGCTATTTCAGAAATTGCTGCTTACCCAGGAACAGTGAATCATTTACCACAGAAACTGATTGCAGTTCAGGGCTAAGTTATTCATGGGCTCATGCCAATAGCTGTGGCACAAACGTACTCCAATAACTGCTTTTAAAGGACAATCTATGGCACTTCATCCATGATGTGGTTGACAATCTGGTCAGCTTCCAGCACCCTGTCCTCCCCTCCTCTCCCCTCCCCTCCCCTCTCTGGGACTGTTTTCCAGAGCCACACTGCTTTTGGAAGTGGGAGAGTCCTGTTCCTTCACCCCGGGCGCTTCTTCTGTCCTCATCACATGCACAGAGGCTGCTCTTAAAAATGGATGGCAGGCAGAGGGACAAACCCTGCTTCACTGCATGCTTTCCTCTGCACCTGTCAATCCATTTTCAGGGTATAGTTAAATCTGGGTTTAGCGCTGTTTGAGAACAGCGCTAAACCCGTGTTTAAAAATAGCTCTAGAAACTGACAAGAAGGGGAGCAATGGTTGTGAGGTAAAGGTAAAGTGGGAAGGAGCTCACCCACTGCATTGAGTCACTACTACCCCACTCTTAGCTGTTTTTAGAACTATTATTCATGGATGGGTGGCACTTCCCAATAAGCCTCTCTTGCTTTAGTGAGAAGTGCCCATCCTATGGACCAGGCTCTGACAGGTTGCTAATCCATACATCTAGCCACTTGCCAAAACTCACCTTCTCCCCTGGCTTCAGCCCACAATAGGAGAGAGACCAGGGATGTATCTTCCACCAGCAAGAAATCTACCCATCGCTTTCCTTAACTTATCCCAAATCATATCTCAATGGACAGCTCCAGCTGGTGCCCTCGGCAGTGAGGCAGAATAGAGCTTGGTTGTTGGAATAGCACAAATCACACCAGCAATCCTTTTTAACTTGTTGGGATTTGCTTTTAATTGATTGAATCAAGACATGGTGTTCATAATAAGACTCGAGAATGGCTGCCAGTCTGACTCTCTGCATCCAGAATTGGGAACTGGACTGCCAAAGCTTTTTCTGAATTGGAAACAAAATCAATGACTTCCTTTCTGCAAGTCCAGCAGCTATTAAAATCCCACAGGGGAACCAGAAGCCAGCTAAAGAAGGTGGCAACTCTAGTATTTAAGGTGATACCTGTCAGGTTCTACCCACGTGGCTGGCCCAAGAAATGAAATACTATGAAGACAGCCTCTCCCACATACAGAAACTGCCCAGGTTAGCAACTGATTAATACTTTAGCGTAGGGAAAACGACAGCATTTTCCTCTACATTTGTGTAAAGCAGTGTAACTTAAGGGGTACAGGGAAGGATATATGAAAAGCACCTCCCAAATACTCCTTGGTGCCCCAGGCTAAGGCTTTGCTTGTCCCTCTGAAAGTAAAAGAGGAGATTTCAGAATGAGATACAAAGGGCAGAAAAGCCAGATCCCACCCAAATTGTTTCTTCTCACTGGCCTTCTCTAAGGTGGCACCTTCCAGGCATATTGAGAATCCTGAGAACTGTAGCCCCCATCAGTCCTCATCCGTTTGGAAAGGCACCAGTGGAGAAACAGCTACTTTTGGCAATTTTTAGGAATGCTGAAATCCCCACTCAGAATATGCTCTTCATACATAAGAGGGAATGTGTAGGATCTCCTTCTAGTTCTGCTAGATGGCAATTGCAGCTGAATGACAGCTCTTGAACTAACTTCATAAAAACAACGAGTGGACTGAGTTATACCAAGAAATCCAAAAAGTTAGAAACTAGATTAAAAATTTAGTGCAGTCCTGCCATTTGACTGAAGCTGATCCTTATTTCTCACCTCCATATGTCAGACTTACGAATAATTAGGGTAGATGGGTTCGCAGACTCTCTTGCGAGATCTTTTAGGTTCAGGTCCACAAGCTGGCTCACAGAGACCCCAAGAACTCCAATCTGTCCAGGTTCCTGGCACTGAGAGAAACCAGATTAATCAAACCAGGAGGCTTCATCAGGGGCTGCCTTCACCACTGCCTCTTTAGCTAATAAAGGGCCATGATCGACGTCTCAGGCTGGGCCCAGAAAGTCATGGATGGGAATTCCCTGCCTAGTCTTAGAACTCATTGTCTGAGTTCAGACAATATGCATAACTTGGTTACTACATTAAGTGACTTTCTGGCTTTGCATTAGTTAACCAGATGAGCTAGGTTCACCCAACACACTAAGACTCCCACAAAATCTAACCAACTTTAATACTAACCAAGCTTATCAAATGATTCTCCTAGGTTTGTAAGTGAGCTAACTAAGGGTATTATGTGAACACACTCCCTCAAAGACCTTAGGCCAGTTGCTCTCTCTCAACTACAAGTTTCTTGTGAAATTAGATAGGGGCTAAAAAGAACCTCTTAGAAGACTCATGGGGCAACCAAAGATAACATTGATCATAGTTTTCTATAATATAATAAAGCTACTTGCCAAACACATATACTAGGGTGGCATAATCCCTCTACATTTTGGAATGAATACAGCGAAATATAAAAAGAGAAGACATGGAAAATCCTTCAGCCATGAGGTGAGCAGAGTTTCTTCCCAGCTTTGTCTTATGGATAACAAAAGGAGCAGCAAATTGAATATGGGCTCAGTGAGCCGTCTTCTTCTTTATTCATGTTTTGCTGTTTTAAAAGCACTGCATGTATTTATTAGTATATCTGTTCATTCATCACTTAAAAAAATAAATAAAATAATCTTTTTCTAAGATGCCATTTTAAATGCAGAATTGTGCAGATAGAATGTTTTCTAGATGATGTTATGGGCACCAATCAGTGAGTGCTGCTCACAATTAGCTTCTGCTGTAAACATGCAGAAAGAGTCCTTCAAAATTAATCGCAACTTCTGTAAAGTTCTTTCTTCACCTTCACTGCCCTTTTGACCTCACACCTTGCATCAGTTAATGCACAAAATACTGGAGCCCTGAACATTTTTAGCAGATAAAGGATATGTTCACAAAAAGATAAAAAAGATAAATTCTCACTGGACTTAGGAGGATCTTAATATTCAAAACATGTTTCAGTGGAATCCCTGTTGTTTCTTAAAACTTTCTCAGGGTAGCCTGAGAGAGAAAACAGAATAAGCCACCTTCTGCCTTCTCCAGATGTACTGGAGTTCAATTCCCAGGCAGTGAGCTCTTTAGCCAAAGTAGGACTAGTAATTGCCATGCATCTGGAGCCCACCAGACGGGGAAGACTGCTTTGGGGCACGGAAACTCTTTGTACCTTCTCTGATTCCCAATACTTACTAAAGCAGCCTTCGATATTGTAGCAGGCCCTGGATTCCCTGAGAGGTCCTGCACAACGCTTGCCCGCATGGTGCCGTCCAATGCAGCTCCTGTTCCTTAACTGAATGCCAGTGATATCGTCGCACTTAATGTTATAACTTAAGACCATACGGCCACAGGGCTTCCAAGGAGACCATTCACTCCAATGACCATCCACTGTGGGAAATGTTTAAAAAGGATATGGTCAGTGCAGAAAAGAATTGAAGGCAGGGGGGCAGTTCTCCAGCCCGATTCACTGGGAGGGAAGAAACTAAGCCCAAAGCCACCAATATTTTTACAGGAACAAAATTATTCTTCCCCATGTATCTGGGTCCTATATGTGGCAGTGCACTCAAAAGGGCAAAGAGGCAGCAACACTGCTCTGCTGAAGACATCTGGTGTGGCCAGCCCAGAAGCACCAAGGACTTAGCATAAAATCCGGTCCTGCTTCATCCCCACTTGAGAAAGCCTGTTAATCCCACCAACCCTGCTTCCCAGCATTCAGCTTGCCCCATCTGTTGTTTGTGCTGAAATCATGCCTAATTTAGATTTCAATGTATGCAAAAGTCAACTTAGGTAAGGCTTTCTGGAACAGAGCAGTTGCATAAGTTGGGGGGCGCCTCACTTGATTCATCTACCTTAGAAGCAGCTCTCTGTGTTCAAGTTGTGGATTCCCCCTCATGGGCTCTCCCTATTCCTTTCACCTTCTTAGTTTTCCCATTACCTGGGCAGGGCACCTTGATGGTGCAGGGTTGATTACGTATGCTTTCCCCAGAGCAGTCCTTCCCTCTGTGCTTTGGTGCAGGGTTATCACACAGACGCCTCTGCAATATTTGGCCAACCCCACAGGTCACACTGCAGGATTGGAGTGGTTTCCAGATGCCCCAATTGCCATCCTCTGTGGGGGAAAGCAGTCGGTGAGTCAGAAGAGAGAAGAGGCAGACCCTCAAATCATCTTAGGCCCAATAGTGGCTTGCTCAGAGAGTCACCATAGAAAGAGCACTGGAGCTTTCCTGCTCTAAAAAGTAACCCGGACTTGCTTTCCTGAAGCTGGCGCTTTCCAGAGGTCCTGGACTGCAGCTCTCATCAAGCCAAATCAAGATGACCAATGACCATGTTTCAAAATACCAGCAAGTTTGAATGGGCCAGGGTCTGTTCACCTGGAACTAGCTGGCCCAAGACCCCAAGGAGCACAGCTTCTGATCTTCTCCTTTGTTGAGGGTGTTATCCTCTGGCTGGCTACAAAGGGGAAGAGCATCTTCCTCAGAGTGCAAAGCTGCCCTCTACAACTTGCTGGTGGGAGGTGACAGACAGTGGCTACACTGTGGGGCTTCCTTCTCTTACGTGGACAGTAGGGCAGTCCTACGCAGCTTCGCGATTCCTGGCTAGCTCCTGGACACGGCATGCCTGGAGGATTGCTGGAAGGTGAGGGGTTGTTACACAGACGGGTTCGTAGCTGCTGAGGCTTTGTAGCTGAGCCTTCTATAGCACAAGTCTTGGAGCAGCCCTGCCAAGATCCCCAGCTGCCCCAGTTTCCATGGGCTGCATTAAAAAGAGAAACATGCAAAGAAGAATGAGAGTCAGGTGTTGCGTCAGAAACATGTGGAAGAGACCAGGGGTACGGTTCACCTCAGTCAGACTTTTCTGCTGCCTTGGGTCCATCCTTTCTTCTTTCTATAGATTTAAGTATGTCTTCTCCTCTATCTATCAGTCCTAAACTGATCTACCATTAAGATTTCCCTACAGACTTCACTAGCTGGTAGCCCCAAAGGGTTAAACTCAGTTTACAAAATCCTGAGAGCTGAAGTTACAGGAGTTGAAGTTATCATCTTAGTACACTCACCGCTTTATTATCTCTTCTTATTGCCTTTTATCTCCCCATTCTCGGAGCCTTTCTTTCCTTCTTCAACATATCAAAGGAAGTGTGAGTACTTTTTAAAAATTAACAAACCAAAAATTGCTGCTCATGCTTAGAAGAAAACATTGCTGTAAATCCTGAGAGTGTGAGCCAGGGCAGAAAAAGTCACAGCTTCCCTATGGAGTTGCCAACTCTGTCCTTATCTTGCAATCCTAAGGAGGAATTTGGCTTTGGTCAACAACTTCAAATAAAGCCACTCCATATTAATCTGCTAGTGAAACTCACATGATCACTGTATTTGGCATAGTTAAGGAGAAGCTGTTATTTAACCTTTTCCCACCTAATGGTGAATGGAAGTCACTGAAACTGCCTTCAGCCGGGGCTAAAACTAGAATCCGTGCAGTTTGCTGCCCAGTGTTCAGCAGCTGCTCACTCTCCAGCCCAAACCCAGTCACATTTGAGAAGGAGGCTTCAGAGAAGCCATATGCAGAGCAGATTGGTCGCCCTTAACTAAAGACTGCAGTATAGTTGCTAGTAAACATTCTCCAACTATTTCTTTCTGCATACAGTATTTCCAGCCTTTTCCCCTCATGCTACTTTTCACTCTCGGTTGTTCTTCAGGTATTTAGTTACCCCAACTTTTGTGTGTGTGTGTGTGTGCACGCGCCTTCGAATCATTGTTGACTCCTGGCAACTGCCTGGATAAGCCCCTGAAGTTTCCTTGGCAAGATTTTAGAAGGGGTTCCCCCTTGCCTGCTTCCTAGCGCTGAGAGAGAGTGGCTGGCCCAAGGTCACCCAGCTGGCTTTGTGCCTAGGCGGGACTAGAACTCACAGTCTCCTGGTTTCTAGCCTGGTGCTTCAACCACTACATCACACTGGCTCTCTACCCCAACTTACTTGGACAAATCTGCTTGGTATCACAGGGCCTATTTTCTCTGCTGTCTCCTTGGCAGGTGCCTCCACAGTTGGGGGCTGGTTTGGTGCAAGTTCGTTCTCTTAACTGGGTCCCAGTTAGACAGGTCACTGAGCAAGGCTTCCAGTTGCTCCATTCCGACCAGCCACCCATCACTGCAAGGAAAGAACAGCCAACATCAAGGTTCAGGCCTGCTGGAGACTCACCAGCCCATGGTCATGATACAAGGCAGTCCACATCCTGTCAGGAGAATTACTAAGCCGCAAAGTCCCATTTCCTTAGGGGGGAATCCCAAAGGACTTACACACATGAGGAAGTGAAAGTATCAAAAGAAGTTCTTACATAGGACAGGCTAATTTGTGGGTTTATTATCCATCACTTCCTGGAGCTGTATCAAAAATTCAGAAATACAGAGTGGGACCATTGTTCCACACAGAACCACTGATGTGCTGTACAAATCATCAGACAAAAAAATCTGCCTTTAAATTTTCTGATTGCAGGCATTAAAGGAAAACAATAGAAAATTAAAACAAAAACAAAAGAAAGGTTGTTTGCCTGCTTTTCAATTGTCCTTTGTAACTATGTCTTTAAAAGCAATTTAGCCTGCTATGTCCACCACCCAAAACCACCACTTGGCTCCTGTTTTTCTGCCCATCAGAATAATTGCTCAAGACATGAAGGATTAAAATGTTTGAGATATTTTTCTTCTTTCTAAATAACAACCTTATTTCATAAACGATAGAAATTCTATCAAAGCCAGTATTATCTGTATCTCCTACATACTCTCCCAAAGAGGGTGCCTCAGACATTAACTATCTCTTTATGGATATAGCTAAACAGGTTTTTTTTTTTAATCTGTGCTCAGTCATTACCGACTCTGCAGTGACCCCATGAACCATATTGCGCCAGGCCTTCCTGTCCTTCACTGCCTCCCTGAGTTTG